GGGAGGCGGAGCTTGCAGTGAGCTGAAATCTGGCCACTGCACTCCAGCCTGGGCGACAGAACGAGACTCTGTCTCAAAAAAAAAAAAAAAAAAAAAATTTTTTTTTTTAAACTTGGGCAAAACCTTTCTGTCTCAGATTGCTGACTGATGAATAACATCAGAGTCCTTACACATACAGTTGGGAGGGGTCAATCAGTGCAGGAGAGCTGTCTGACAAAGCCTGGGACATAGCTTACTGGTAAAGAGAATGGTTCTTGTTGTTCATTCCTGCGGTTCATCCACCTGCTTGTTTAAGATCATTTACAGATGTGTGTCAAGCCCTCTGCTAGGATGAACATGATGAATGGGTTCCCATGGCCTCAACAGATGGTTGTCCACACAACGTCATCAAGTAAGACTCCTGGCTGACTTGGCAGTTTATGACATGAATTCTGCAAATCCATGCTCTCTCTAGTCAGCCCATTCCAGATCAGCCTTATCTGTCTCTGCAGTCCCAGTGCCCAGCACCATGTGGAGGAGTCAACCCCTCACTTGTTGAGCAGGGCAGGGACCTGTGGCTAGCAAATCTCTAATCTTCCTTTCGCCAACTTGGCCCAACGTCTTTTTGAGATAGGGTCTCACCGTTGCCCTGGCTGCAGTGCAGTGGCACGATCTCTGCTCACTACAGCCTTGACCTCCTGGGCTCAAATGATCCTCCTGCCTCAGCCTCCCGGGTAGCTGGGACTACAGGTGTGCACCACCATGCCCAGATAATTTCTGTATTTTTTTTTGTAGAGATGGGGTTTCGCCGTGTTGTTCAGGCTGGTCTGAAACCGATCTCCTTGCCTCAGCTTCCCAAAAGTGCTGAAATTACAGGTGTGAGTTACTGTGCCTGCACTTGACCCAACTCCTGCTCTCCCATCTCCAGGATGGTCTGTAAGCAGAGGTCAAACAGCCCTCTCACTTCAAACACCTGTTCTAAGAGGTGAAGTCCACTGGTTCCTGTGTGGTCACCTGGCATGTGAAAGAATGCCGGTAGGCTGATGGGCAGGACTCCCTTCCACAGAAATCTCATACTTTAACTGTCCCATCCCCTCAACCCCTTCTAAATTGAGTATTCAATGATCTTGTAAAGAAAGAGATGATTGGGCCGGGCGCGGTGGCTCAAGCCTGTAATCCCAGCACTTTGGGAGGCCGAGACGGGTGGATCACGAGGTCAGGAGATCAAGACCATCCTGGC